TTTAGTAAACAAACACATGTTTTATCATTACAGTCTATAAAAGAGTCAGCATCTTTTTTTTTCATTCAGTGGTGACAAATACACTGAAAATACAAAGAAAACTATAGCCTAAATAAACTGCTCTTGTACTTCCAATGATTTTTAGAATTAAATCTACTCACCAATATCACCAAACTAATCAAGTTTAAAGGGCTCTGGTGGCACAGTGGGTAATGCATTCAGCTTCTAACTGAAAGGTCAGCAGTTTGAACCCACTAGCTGCTCTGTGGGAGAAAGATAAGGCACTATGCTTCTGTAAAGATTTACATCCTTGGAAACCCTGTAGGGCAGGTCTACTCTGTCCTATAGGGCTGCTATGACAACTCAGTGGTAGTGGGTTTTTTTTTTTTAAGCAGGTTTAAGATTATAAGTAAGCGAAAATGAAAGCAATTATTAATTTACAGTGTGGCCTAATCTTGGAATTTACCCTATTTGTTCAATATCAGTAAGTTAAAAGCCAGGAACTACACAAGGATTCCCAGGCAAACCAATCATCCTTCCACCATTCTTACAAAAATTTCAACAAAAGAATGGTAGCATAAGGTCTTAGATAGGAGTTCCTATCCTTATTTGATTATCAACAAAACTATATACAATCAGATATAAAATAAAGCTATATAAACAGACAGACCGATACAGAGATAGATATACTGCTGTTATTAGGTGCCGTTGAGCTGGTTCTGACTCAGAATAACCCTATGTACAACAGAGCAAAATACTGTTTAGTCTTGTACCATCCTCACAATCATTGCTATGTGTGGGCCCATTCTTGCAGCTATTGTGTCAATCCATCTTGTTGAGGTGGTCTTCTTTTTTGTTCACCCTCTACTTTACCAAGTATGACCTTCTCCAGGGACTGGTCCTTCCTGATAATACGGCCAAAATATGTGAGACAAAATCTTGCCATTCTTGCTTCTAAGAAGCATTCTGGTTGTATTTCCTTCAAGACAGACTTGTTCTTTCTTCTGGCAGTGCATGGTATATTTAATATTCTTCATCAACACCATAATTTAAAGGCATCAATTCTTCTTTAGTCTTCCTGATTCACTGCTCAGCATTCACATGTATATAAAGTGACTGAAAATACCATGGCTTCGTTCAGGTGTTCATGACATCTTTGTGTTACAACATTCCAAAGAGGTTTTTTTTTGCAGCAGATTTGCCTAATGCAACATGTAGCTTGATTTCTTGACTGTTGTTTCCAGTATCGACTGTGGATCCAAGTAAACCTAAATACTGGACAACTTCAATCTTTTCTCCATTTATCATGATGTTTTATTAGTCCAGTTGCAAGGATATTTGTTTTACGTTATTGAGGTGTAATCCATACCAAAGACTATAGTCTTTGATTTTCATCAGTAAGTGCTTCAAGTCTTCTTTGCTTTCAGCAAGCAAGGTTGTGTCATCTGCATACTACAGGTTGTTAATGAATATCCCTCCAATCCTGATACTGTGTTCTGCTTCCAGATTCTCAGATTATCTGCTCAGCGTACAGACCAAGTCAGTATGGTGAAAGGATACAACCCTGACACACACCTTTCCTGATTTTAAACTTCCCCTTGTTGTATTCAAATGAACACCTCTTGATTTATGTAAAGGCTTCAGGAGAGCACAACTAAATGTTCTGATATTCCCATTTTTCACAATGTTATCAGTAATTTGCTATGATTCTCATAGTCAAGCTAGTTAATAAAAAGCATGTAAACATCTTTCTAGTATTTTCTGCTTTCAGCCAGGATCCATCTGATATCAGTAATGATATCCTTCATTCTATGTCCTTTTTTGAATTCAGCTTGAATTTCTGGCAGTTCCCTGTCAATGTACTGTTGCAACCATTTTTTAATTATCTTCAGCAAAACTTCACTTGCGTGTGATATTAATAATAATGTTAAATAATTTCATTCTGTTGGATTACCTTTCTTTGGAAAGGACACAAATATGGATCTCTTCAAGTTGGCTGGCCAGGTCTTCCAGATTTCTTAGCATAGATAAGCAAGCACTTCAAGTGTTGCATAACTTGTTGAAACATCTCAACTAGGATTTGCTTGAGTAATTTCTTTTAGAAGGATCAGCACAAGGCTGCTATGAGGTGGAGGTTAAAGATGTCCCGAATGTCCAATTTATCCAAACTGCTTTGCCACTCCATTATTTCTAACATCAACTCCTCCTCCTCCTCTCAGTATTCTCCCTCCTGTCTAAGGGTTCTGTATTTCACTTTAACATTTCACAGAACTCATGAACTGCCAAGGAAACGGCTCATGTAGTGGTGAGGGCTGGGAGGCTGGCAAGTCTCAAGTCCGTGGGTAGGTCTGGAAGATTCTTCCCACTTGAGTGGTTGCAAGGGCTGGTGAACCCAAATCAGCGGGTCCGATCTTTATCAAAGATTCAGTCCAGGGGTGAGATGATGACGAACCAAAGGCAAGACCAGCGAGAACTTTCCCAGAGCATCCACATATAGACCCTCAAGGAAACTAAGGGTGGTGACTTGAGTCACACCCTCCAGCAAGGTGGGACTGAAGATACATCCCACCCTAAACAGGCATAAACTAGGATTTACAATACATCATAAAATGGAGGTTGATGGCTAGAAGAACCATATTAAACAATTCACCGTACTGTGGTATTCCATCAATTCCTAGAGCCTTGTTTTTGCCAATGCCTTCAGTGTAGCTTGGACTTCTTTCTTCAGAATCATTGGTTCTTGATCACATGCTACTTCTGAAATGGCTGAACACTGAACAATTCTTCTTGGTACAGTGACTCTGTATATTCCTTCCATCTTCTTTTGATGCATGGTTTTATTATATATGTATGACTATGCTCAGCAGAGACTTTAGATAATTTCTGCCAATGCCTTAGCAGCAGCTCCCTAAATACAGGATCCATACACTATAGTCACCAATCTTACTGATATTTGCTTCAGTAAAAACGCAGCCTACAGAAATGTAGGAGGGGCCCTGAAGGATATGCAAAACAGAAAGAAGAGCACTTTTCCAATACCACTGCCACTTCAGCAAGGCAAAATTCAAGAAAAATTCCCTTTTCCACCCTGACAGCTCTATATGGCACTAAACGAGATTTCCGGAACAAAAGCACACTATATGCTAGAACCTGAAGCCTGCCATCTGCTTTACTCTGTATAAATGGATTGGCTTGTAACAAGCTGATAAAAATGGCTGGTGTGATGAGTAAGACTTGGGCTTTGTTACTAGGCTAACATATTAAGAGAAGGGACATAAGGGCTCAGAGTTTTACTAAGAAAAAGCAGTGTGTATTCTGTCTCTCAGGTCTGTATGTCTATATGAGTTTATACAGATTCCAGGTAAGAGATTCTCTCTAATTTTCTAGGTTGAGGCACATAATACCGACATAACTGTCTTCTGGAGTTTATAGACACAGAAGGATATGTCGTTCTTGGTGATAAGCTCATTTTCATTTGCCAACAAGGGACCTAGAACAATCAATTTGTTTAGTGTATGTTAATAGCTCATTTGAGTATTTCTTTTAGAAACAATTCCACCATTCTTAGTTTGTGTATGTTCCTCCTGTAGATAATTTAAGAGCTAGATCATCTTTGCTGGGGACAGCACATGTACGTTGGGTGTCACAAAGAGATTGATAAAAGGATTTATCAAAGACTCAGATTTACCGATGTAGCACTCTAATGCCCAATAATCTCTTCTTGCTCCTATTCTATTGAGTAGCTTTTGGTGAAACTATTAACTATATAATGTTGAACTATCATCCTGGCTAGGTAGATATTATAGTCACATGCAGAGGAGCAAAATGAAATGACTCTAGAGCCTGAAAATTTGGTTATAGTAGGTTCCTGGTTTTTAACCTACCTGCACTGAACTAATAGGGTAAATCCTAAGATTAACCCATCCTAACTATAAATTTGAATTGCACAGTGTTAACTTCTATTGTACATAGGGTTACCATGAGTCATAACCATCCCCTCAGTACCTAATAACAATAGCAACAACTGTAAATTCATAGTTGCTGTAAAGAAATTTAAGGGAAAAAAATAGATGAAAGTATATGTTATTAGAAAAGGATAGTGATATTCATTTTGCATTTGCATTCAGTAAATAGTTATTGAATATTACTGCATTCTAGGTACCAAACTAGGGGATGGAAATACAGACAGATGCAATCTAAGCCTGCATGGAATTTACATCCAGTAGTGAAGAATGGCAATAAACAAGTAAATTACAACTATCCTGAGTGTAAGAAAGGAGAAACTAGAATGTTTTTGGAGTGTGAATCTATGGTATCTAATCTAGTTTCTGTTTTGTTTTTGGCAAGGGACTGGAAGAGTGATATATGTATAAGGCCAAAGGAAAACTAAAAAGCAAAGATGTGTCCTTGTCTCCAGCACTGCACAAGGGAAAATTTTAAAATCCAGCTGGTCTTAGAAAGTATATCCTGACTATGCAGACATGTATCAGATCCCAGTAAACTTAATTACAAAAATCTTCACTTCATGTAATAAACCCTCCTATCTGAAAACTATCTAATACCAGCACATAATTCACTCTGCAGCTCTATTTTGTACTATATAAATCAATACATTGACATTCTGGTCTTTAAACCTGGGCCTGATCAATTCTGGGTGGCAAAGAATGGGTGCTAAAACTGAGTTTCTCAGTCCTGGATTGAGTATGGTCAATAATCACTCAGCCAGACAGCTTTCTCTATGACATTTCTATTTTTGATTTCCGTAACTTCAATAAATATGAAGAATACTAGGAATGATTTAAAAATCTCCTAAGGAAAGTACCTGAGCATAGCAGGAACTCATAATTGATCATTAAAGGAATGACCAATAAGCTTAAACAAACTCTAAATCAAGTAGCTGAGCTGCGAAGGACATGTTATAAAAGCTACATAAATAGCAAAGTTTCTCAAAAAAAAAAAAAAAACTTGTGTGTAGTGTGTGTACAAAAACACATACATACCTGCACTCAAGACCAAACCACAACCACGGTGGGAAGCGGACATGATCATGGGAAGAGGCCATCTGCAGAGAAACACAGAAAATTAAAAAGATGACACCATTGTAGACAGTCTATCTTGGCAAATAGAATACAACCTACTTCTGAAATAGGCATAATTTAAAGAACAAAAACAGCTTTCACAACACTGTGTTTCCAATTTCTAGTTTGAAATTATTTAAAGAGAAGCAGTTCTCTGCTTTACCAAACTATATCACTGAAAAAGTTAAGAAGAAGAACCAGCTGTAACTCAAACTCCTCCTTTCATATGGCATAAGGCAGAAACAACATGGATCAAAAACATCAATTACAATGTGTATAGTAAGAATATATTTACTAGAATACAATCACATGGGTTTTCCTAGTCATAACTCTAAAGGAGAAGAAAACACTTAAGTTTTTTTTATTTACTATTTCACATAATATATGGCCAGCCTTGAACTCTCCCTTATTGTATGTCCCACAATACCACACTGGGCATATAATTTTTTCCCTAACCAAATACCTATCCCAAATTCATTGTTGCTAAATTTAGTACATCCTTTTTTTTTCTCTCTCTTTTAAGACCTTTTTTTCTACCATCAACTTATAAGCTCTTCAAATATAACCCAGACCACTGAGGAATTCAAAGACAACCTTAACTAGAAAGTAAGCTAAGGCCTATTAAAATACCATAGTATGTTACCTAATTCTTAAGTAACTCTCCAGAAACTGAAAGGAATATATACTCTAATCTAAATTATTTTATTTCCCAACGTGTAACACTTCCCAAGCTGGGGGCTTGGAGGCTGCTTTTCACTCGGGGATGGCTCTATATCAAGGCTGGGCCCTTGGGTAGGTAGGTAGGTAGGCCCGGGCCTTGGAGGCTGCTTTTTGCTTGGGTGTGGCTCTGTTTTAAGGCCTGGGCCTGAGGTAGGCAGGGTTAGGAACAACTAAAGGAGATGAAGTTGTCAGTCAGTTTGTTATCCTGTGGTGGCTTATGTGTTGCTGTGAGGCTGGAGGTTATGCCACCGTGTTGCAAAATGCCAGCAGGCTTACCCGTGGTGGAAGAGTTTCAGCAGAGCTTCCAGGCTTAGACAGATTCGGAAGAAGGAACAGGCCATCCACAATTGGCCAGTGAAAACCTTAGGAACAGCAGTGAAATACTGTCTGATATATTACTGGAAAACTTTATGAACAGCCCTGACATAGTGCCAGAAGATGTGCTCATCAGGTTGGAAGGCACTCAAAAATTTGACTGGGGAAGAGCTGACTCGTCAGAGTAGAGACGACCTTAACAATATGGGTAGAGTAATGTTTTTGGGACCTCCATTGACTGATGTAGCACAATTCAAAATGAGCAGATACAGTTGGAAACATCCATTGATAACTGGCACATGGAATGTACAAAGTATGAATCTAGGAAAATTGGAAGTTGTAAAAAATGAAATGGAACACATAAAGATTGATATCCTAGGCATTAGTGAGCCAAAACGGACTGGTTCTGGCCATTTTGAATCAGACAACCATCTGATCTACTATGCTGGGAATGACAAATTGAAGAGGAATGGTGTGGCATTCATCATCACAAAGACTGTTTCAAGATCTGTCCTGAAGTACAACACTGTCAGTGATAGGATAATATCCATATGCCTACAAGGAAGACCAGTTAATACTACTATTACCCAAATTTACACACCAACCACCAAAACCAAAGATGAGAATATTGAAGAGTTCTACTAACTTCTGCTGTCTGAAATTTATCAAACATGCAATCAAGATGTGTTGATTATCACTGGTGACTGAAATGCAAAAGTTGGAAACAAAGAAGTATTACTGGTATTTGGAAAATATGGCCTTGGTGATAGAAATAACTCTGGAGATAAAATTTTGCAAGACCAACAACTTACTCATTGCAAATACCTTTTTTCAACAACGTAAGTGATGACTATATACATGGACTTCACCAGATGGAATATACAGATATCAGATTGACGACATCTATTGGCAAGAGGCAATGGAAAAGCTCAATATCTTCGGCCAAAACAAGACCAGGAGCTGATTGCGGAACAGACCATCAACTGTTCATATGCACATTCAAGATGAAGTTGAAGACAATTAAAACAAGTCCACGAGAGCCAAAATATGCCCTGGAATATATCCCTCCTGAATTTAGAGACCATTTAAAGAATAGATTTGATGCACTGAACACCAATGACCGAAAATCAGAATTGTGGGATGGTATGAAGAACATCATCCATGAAGAAAGCAAGAGGTCATTAAAAAGACAAGAAAAGAAGAGAAGATCAAAATGGATGTCAGAAGAGACTCTGATACTTGCCCTTCAGTGGAGAGTAGCTAAAGCAAATGGAAGAAATGACAAGATAAAAGAGCTGAACAGAAGATTTCAAAGAGCAGCTTGAGTAGAC